CACACACACACACACACACACACACACACACACACACACACACACACGATTTGGATTACAGGTTTTGGAGTTCAGAAGTTGGCATCTTGGGAGTACAGCATTTGAATGTCTGTTTGCCTAAATTCCATTATGTCTGTATTACGGAAGATTTTCATTGGAATGGGAGAAAGAACTTTTGGAGAGGTTAAAGTGTGAAGCATTGAGATACTATAAAGTACCTGGATGAGACTTTCCAATGTGAAAACATTGGCTATGGGCTGTCCAGTGTCTTGTGTGATTACACCTCCATTTTCTGGGAGGAGAAATGGTCCCAGTCTAGAAAGATCCCAGGAGTGTGCTAACTGTAAGCCTGTCTCTGCTCATATGTGGCTCCCACCAGCTGTATCGGTGTCTCTGTTTTCCCATTCACACTGAAGATCAGTAATGCTTGTGTTTTCTCCCAGTCCTCTCTGATTCTAAAATAGTTCTCGGAACTTTTATATATGAAGAAATAGCTGTTCCTCTTGTCACCAGCCACTGGATCTAAGAAATTCAGAGATGTTTTGATTTTGAAACAAGATTTCTCTACATATGCCCAGCTGTCCTGGAACTCACTGTGTAGTCTAGGCTGGCCCTGAACTCTTAGAAATCTGCCTGTCCTTGCCCCACAGTGCTAGGATTAAAGGCACCACCATTCCTGGCCAGGAACTTAACCTCATAGTTTCATTACCCGCAGCAGCATCACTGAATGTGAAGCTATGGGAAATAGTGAGCACTGAAATGACACAAGCGCCGCTAGAGTGGTGAAGAGATAGGAACAGCATGTGGGATTCTAGTTCCTTTGGCCAGGCGTTCCTGTAGCCATGAATTTAACGCTCTTGTGTCTATTTTATCTTACCTCATGTTTTGTTTTGTGATCAGATACTATTGTAGGACCAGCCTACTTTCACCTTTTTTGGTAATTACGTCATACAGGAATGACTCCCGGTTCTTGGGAGTGATTTCTAGGCAACCTGAGTCCACACAACATATTGTAGCAGTAATGAGGGAAGACCAAGTGTCCCTTTCTGAAATTCTGGTCTGGAAAGCCTTCTTCCACAGAGCAAATGGAGGTGGGAATGACATTAAATGTGAATCAGTTGTAGGCAGAACCAGCTTGGCCATGGTGCACAGGTTGGCTTTGAGGATGAACCTCCCTGTCCTGTCCTGTTCACCAAGCAGGTTTCCTCACCTACTTAATGATGACACACCATTTGGTGAGGGTTGACTGAAGAATTTCCTTAGCATTGGCTGGACTTAGCCCCTCCAGGCAGCCTTTCGTTCCACCAGCCCCAGTTTGATGGTTCTATCCAGTTAACTATTGTGAGGCCGGGTGGGGTTGCCTTTTGAAAACCGAAAGGACTTGATTGTAGAACATAGTTAATTCCCCTTTTCTCCTCTGCTCTTCTCCCACATAATAGCCTACTATCAGAGAAAGCCTTGGGGCCAGGCATGGGCCAGTAGGGGCCTCACTAGGGTGGTGCATTGTGACAGTAGCTGATGGGAGAGACTGCTTGTTAACCCAGAACTAAAATAGACACCAACTCCATTTTTCAAATCCCAAAGGCAGTAGAGCCACAGTGGGATGCTACCAGTTTAGAACCAGAGTCTATAACTTAAAACAGCTGTTGGTTTCTTTCTTCTACCCTGGCCCTACTCCTTCCCCTCCTACCAAAGTTGGCGGGGTGCCTGTGTTCCTTAATAAAGTGTTGGCAATCCAGCTTTGTATATATGCTGAGTCTTTTCTCCTCCACTCTGCTGTGTTTCAAAATAATGAAATTCTGGCATTGAACAAAAGGACGACAATGCCACTGGTGAGGGTTCTCGTTCTTAAGGTCAGGTATTGCATGTGACCTCTTTTATCCAGCTCCTGGACAAGGGGTAATAGGGCAGAGAAGAAAGATGACTAGAACACACTGGGCAGCGGCGTTCAGTGGCTGAAAGCGGGGACAGTGCCGAGGACAGGTGGGCGAGGAGGGAAGAGCGTTGCCGGTGCTCAAGGTCGTGCTGTTGTTGGGGTAGAGTGACTGCTCTGCCCTGAGCACGGTGAGCTGGTGCAGTGTGCAGGCTCGTGCTCTTCAGCCGAGCAAAGTGACCCAAGTGTTCTTTCAAGTCTTCCAGGCGCCGCATTTTAAAGTGAAGAGTGGATTGGCAGGGCTATCTCAGTGCTGGAGCACATGCTTGGTATTTGTAAGGCCTTGGGCTCAATCTGCACCTCCCCCAAGAAAGAGGGTTTTTGAAAAAAAAAAAAAAAAGCCACACTAATTGCTGTTGTTTATTAAATTCATGTAAGTCAAAACAGAATAGATCACATATTCTGTGCTTAGAATCAGCAAACAAATATTAGTAGGAGATTTTTATTCTCTCACTATCTTACGTTTAAACGTGTCATTGAAACCTGTGCTCATTGTGCAGTCACAGCCCCTCTTAATGGAAATCGGTCCCATACCAGGTGCCCACAGAGCAAGTTAAAGACAAGCCAGGGGGCAGTGAAGCCTTCCCCAAGAGTGGGCTGTGTGGCTGGATAGTCATCATGCCGATGAAGGAGCTGCCAAAAGCAAACTTGGCCCAAGTTACTGTATAATCTTAGGCGGCTTCTTGATTAAAGGAGATTGGGTAATAAGTAATTCTAACATTATTTCAGTTAAAATATATCCAGCAAATATTTGAGTCCTAATTGTGACAGTGGAAGGCATTTGATCGGTCTTGAGAAAAGCAGGGATGTTTGAGGTGTTTGAGGCTGGTCAGAAAGAAAAAAAAAGGGGAGGTGGGGAGACAAGTTCAGGGTCAAGAAAGACACAGTGGCTAAGAGCTTTGGATCTGTCACTGGGCAAAGGTAAACAAGAGTATTAGAATCTTTTGTTAAGGCTCCAGGGGTCTATGGATCAGCCAAATGGGATCTAGAAGTGGAGAACAGAGACTTGTAAGGGGAGGCTGCCTCCCTGGCCTGGCAGTTGGAGGCACCTTAGCCGCACCTTTCACAACCTCCCTACTGCCCAAGAGCAGAGCAAGGACCAGGTTCACCTGGCTTCCTGTCTCTTAGGATCCCCCATAGGCTATTCCCTGCTTCATGCCATGCCGGCTTGATTCAGCAGGCCTAGCTGGGTGCTGGTCTACGGTGGACAGCCTGGGCATGTTCCTAGGATGGGACTAGAGAAGGCTACCCAGCCAGGGCTCTGTCACAGGCTGTCATTGCTGCTCACAACCACTGGGAGATTACTGCAGCTGTGGGTGTCAGTCCTCTGCCCCAGGGTGGGCCAGGGAGGGTGGGCTGAGGGGAGAGGAACGTGTGGGTGGGGTGGGGCGGGGCTCTAAGGGAGGGATTGTTTGCTCTTCCTTCTTTTGGCCTCTGGAGACAAGGCAGGAAAAACGAAGCATGAAATCCCCTTTTAAAAGGAACGCCATCAAAACTCTGCAATGAGCAAGGCATTGAGTGTC